TGTGTGTGTGTGTGTGTGTGTGCAACGGCGTCGGTGGTTATAATGGGTTACTTCCACGCGCAACGAAGATAACGGTATTGGTTCACCCCAGTACTTCGTGGAGCCAAAACGCATTGTGTCGCATTCTCCTCGTTTCCTTTCTCTCTCTATCTCTCTCTCTCTCTCATATATATATATGTCCCTATCTGTTGATTTGCTTAGTACCCCCAGCTTTGTTTTACTACGCCCTTATGTCCCGTTTTTATTCCCCTTTCTCCTATTGTCCGGGTGTTTCTTATGACTCTTTTTCCAGTTGTCTGATTGTTTATTCGTTTTCGCACGTGCTACGTCACTGCCCTCAACAATGTAAGGGGACGTTGCGCTGGTGCAACAACTGCGTGGGGGGGGGCGGCAGCAGGCATTGTGGACGGAAGAAAGTTAAGAGGCGCCATGGCGGGGCAGGTGTCAGGTGTGCGCCTCTGAGCATTGCGTCTGCCACCGTGTGTGTCAACGCCTGTCTCTCCGTCGGCTCATATCTTTAACTCTCCCTCTGCCTGCACCCGCCTGCACCCTCTTTCGTATCACTCTCTTTTTTGTTTCCTCTTTTCCTTGTACCTTTCTCCACATATGTCCCTATCATCATCCACACCTCTTTCGTGGGGTACGGGGAAGCTTCATATCACTTCCGGTGTGGCTCTTGTTGTTGTTCGATGCGCAGTCCCCTGTGCTCCAGTCACCACTCCACCTTGTCTCATGCGTACTCTGTGTCTCTGGGTGTGTGTGGCCCGCTGCATATACACGGCATATATATCTCACACGCACCATCTCTCTCTCTCTCTCTCTCTCTCTCTCTCCCCACACACACATGGAAGCACTTGTAGTGCCTCTCGCAGAAAGAGAGCGAGGCCCAGANTGTCTCTGGGTGTGTGTGGCCCGCTGCATATACACGGCATATATATCTCACACGCACCATCTCTCTCTCTCTCTCTCTCTCTCTCTCTCTCTCTCTCTCCCCACACACACATGGAAGCACTTGTAGTGCCTCTCGCAGAAAGAGAGCGAGGCCCAGATATACATTCATTCACACACGGACAGAGGCGCAAGGAGAGGGAGACACACGCACACGCATCAATGGAGGGTAATTTCTACGTGTCCGGCACAGTCATCCAGCGGGAGCTGCGTTCGCACTACGGCAGCTGCCTCGCCAAGTGTCGCGATGAGGCGGCTGCGTACGGCCGCTGCGTTGAGGCGGGGCAGATCAACCGCAACTTGGCGCACGGCAGCTGCAGCGAGGAGCGGCGGGCGCTTCGGGCGTGTGTCGACGCCCACGCGACGGTCATGAAGAACGCGGCGCGGCAGTAGAAGTAGCGGTGACCTCACCCTGCAGCAAGTGCTGCGGGAGAGGGAAAGGTTGCACAAAGAAACACACTCTCTTCGTCTTCTCTCCATCTGTGGTCGCGCGTAAAACTCTGTCCTCACCTGCTCACTTACGCACACGCTCCCTCTCCCCTTTACTCTCGCTGTGTGGTAGGGGGGGGGCCGGAAACCATCAGCGCCAGGTGGTGTGCCTGCAAATTCATTGGCTTCTCTTCACCGTATGCCACCACCTGCCGTTGTGTTATCGTGGGGGCAATTACGCCGCGCAGGTCTGTTTCCCGTTGCGACAACAGGAAGCTGTTCCCACAGCTACCGCTGCGCGGTGCGTGTGTTCGGTTACTCTGCCTACGACAGCATCCGGAAGCCACCCAAACGGTGTGCAGGCTCGTCTTCGTCACCTGCCACAACAACAACAACACCAACAGGCGGCGACGGCACGACGAGTATCAGGCGGCGCAGTGGCGCTGGTATGCGTCCTGCCCAGTCCCCAACGGAGAAGCAGCGGGAGGCGAAGCAAATATTCCCCGAAACGCTCAAGAGTGGTCGCTACAAGCAACAGAGTACGCGAGCGCAGCGGCTCTACGAAGGGCCGGCGTCGCCCAGCGCGTCCGCGGCCGACACACGCTTCTTCCGCAAGCTTGAGGACTACCGCGAGGTGCAGGACAGCGACCCGTATGCCAGTGTCTTCGGCGAGAAGGTGTCAGTGGAGCGGCGGCGGGTGAAGGAGTGGCAACGGCAGTTCGAGGAGGAGAATGCGGACGTGGAGCTCCCGTACGAGCGCACCAACATCCTTGCGCGACTCGCACCCAACTGGTTCGTGCGTTGCTTTGTGAATATGCGTGACCGCGGTGGTGCCGAGAGCACAGGCTTTTTGTGGGCAATTGGCATCAGTGCGGTGGTGCTGCTGTGGCTCGTTGGGTATCTCTTTTACACGCCGCCGAGCAAGGCAAAGCCTATCGCAGAGCTTCGATGAGGCGGAGAGGGGAGGAGAGAGAAGGGAGCGAAGGCGCTTGTTGGTGCGAGTGTCTGGGTGAGTTCTGCACACGCTGTCAAGTAACAGCCGCTTGTTTGATTTAAACCATTTGCTGTGTGTTTATGTGGTGTGACTGTGCACCTGGACAGCCTCTCTTTTGTTCTCTGTTGTGCGGCAGTGCCGTGTGTGCTTGCTCGGGGGCAAGACGCGCTCTGCTAGGAAGTAAGGAAGAGGTGCCGCTGTCTCGCGCAGCTGCAGCCAGATAAAAGGGCGGAATAACGGAGGCGAGAAGAAGAAAGAGAAAAGGGTCGGGAAGATAGAGAGGCGTTCGGCCTGCTGGGGAATGGCGAGCAACTACGGGCTGGCTGCGCAGTGCCAGCTGAGGCGGGACGAGCTGCACGAGCTGCTCACTCTTTCGGCGGTGGCCACGCAGGCAGACGGCGGCGGCAGTGGCACGTCCAACGGGAATGCCGTGCTGCCGCTGTGGCGCACGCTTCTCACGGCGGCGCACGTGCGAGCGCTGGTGCTGCACGCGTTGGTGCGTGTGTCTGTCCCAAAGAGCAAGCAGCAGCTCCTCATCCGCGGTAACAAATACACTAACGCTGGCGGTGGCGCGGGTGCCTCTGCGGAGAATAATAATCATCATCAGCAGCAGCAGGTTTACCGTGTAGGGCAAATAGTGGCGCTGGTGCCG